CACCTTAATCTGTGATGTCCTGTGCCAATATATAAGATTCCCATTAACAGAGATATGGAAACGGTCTCTTCCTGTTAGATATGACAAGGGCCAAACCTACAGCCCAATTAGTGCTGCTTACGCATGCACATACACACACATGCGCACACACGCACACATGCGTGCACACACAAACACACTGCGGACTGGCGGAGGTCCAATTTGGCTAACGTAGCTATCATGCTTATGGTTTTAGCTCTCATCAACATCGCTAACTCACTATTCATGCCCTTGCTCTCTCGCTACACTCACACATAAAACGCACACACAGCTCTAACTCAAAACATGCTAGCCTATCTCGGCAATTACAAGAGCTGTCAGTGATAAAGCGATGACTCAGGAAGGACACTCACAGTCTCTGTAATGTTAAATCAATACAGTTGGATCGTGTTATCCCGATGACTCACTGACAACATTGAAGTTCTGGTGAAGTGCAGTCTGCAGGGTGCCTGGGCCCAAGGCAACAACCTCTAACTCACTTATATTAATCACTATTTTATGTCAAACATATCGCCAAACTACATTTCTATGATGATTCCCACCATTTTTAAAGTGATTAAGAAAATGGTTAAGGCACAGGAAGCAATATTCTCAAAAAACGTTTAACACTTAGCAGTGGCGGAGAAACACAGGACACAACTCCCTTGAAGACAACAATGTCTACACCAAATAACATGTTATGTTTTTTCACTTTTTCCAGAGTAAAATCTTTTTGACCAAATTCAGTTCTGATCATAACACAATGTTCATCTATTTGCCTAATAGTAATATAATGCATTGAGGTTCTGAGTGTCTACTTTTGCTACATGCTTTATTATAGTCTATTTATAGGATCAGAGGTTGAACCCTAACCCAACCCTAAACAATGTGCAATTGCCAGCGATGATATCAAAATGTTTAAATTAAAAGCCAAAAATGTTACAGCAATGAGTGACATATTCCTCCAGTAACATAATTGCAACTATCAGGAAGAGATGTGACCCTTTGACAGGAAGTCTGTAGGGTGGGGGGGGATGCTGGGTCAGCTGTGATGTTAGAGCTCAGTGTTTGGAAAACATGGAACATGAGGCACTTTTCTCTACCATGGCTCCATCATTCCATCTCCTCATCGCTTCCTCTGGTCTGTGTCTGTTAGCTGGACAATTTGGACTTGAGGAAAATGGCCCCAGCAAAGAAAGCAGAAGTAACATTTGTTTACAGACTGTTTTCTTTACAGTCTCTCTTTCATCTAGAAAGCATTTTCTTTGCTAAAAATAAAGAGTTCCGGACTTTAACAGCAACTGTCCTGATGAAAGGGTTTTTTACGTCGGAAAGCTTTAGGAAGGTTATGTTGCTCTTCCTCTCATTCCGGCATCCTCCCCCACTTCCGTTCTATCTATCTGTACTTGATTGTACATCCTCTTCTCGTAAAACGGAGCAGGCAGTGCAAACAGTTCAGTGCTTAACCTTGATGTGAAATGTTTTTCGACATGTTCAGTGGATAAGGCTGAAAGACCTGGGGGATCCCGATGCACAGGGAAGCAGGGATTGTAATTACTGTGATCTACAGCTCTGCCAACATACACCATCTGTAAGATGGCTTATCACTCAACTATTATTCCAGTTTGTAAAATAAGAGTTTAAGTCTCTTCGCATTTCCAATGCATGGTACGGCACGGGTCTTCTCAACTCGAGTCATTCCTCTTTGTCAAAAAGTTGATGTTAGTATGTGGTAGCGAGCTGGGTTAATACTAGAAGGTGAAGTACAATGCCTACATTAAGATAGGTACATTCCCCAGTGGCATACCAACTAGAGCAAAGGATCTGGTACCAAAAGTGAGCTTGAGTAGACATACTCTGTATAGCGATAATGATTAAGCACTCACACATCTTGTTAGAAGGGTAACTTTGGTGTTTTTCAACCTGTGTTTTAATGACTAATGGAGAATGGTCCTTTTGGAAATTGCTCGGTATTGAGAGAAAGTGCAGCATTGTGCAATGTCCGTCCACTAAAAGGGCCGGTTTTTGCCAACAGGCTTTAGTGGTTGACAGTATAATGAAAAGCACCCTGAAACTAAATAACGTTGATTTACCTTTCACTTGATCTGAACTGATTTTTAATGTATCCAACAAAGACTGGCTCAAGCAGAAATCTTTGTTCTCGAATACTGCAAGAGATTACTTGTTGAGTGCTGGTATTTTAAACGTATGTTATAACGGAGCACAGAAACGGTGGTTGGACAATTTTCACAATTCCTAACCAAATCATAGAAAACAAAACAACATCACAACTTCAATTGCACTTGCAAAATCAATGGCAGAAATTGCAATTGGATATTTTCCTAAAACCTTTCTGTTAGCACAGTGGACGATGTTGAATAAACTCAAAATCTGGATGACTTTTAAGCTTTTAATAAAATGTGATGAAACTCAAAGCAAACCTACTCAAACCTATTCAAGGGCAACAGTCAGCCGATCAGCGTATACAGTACATGGAGTCAGGGGGGTTTCCCCCCCGCCTAGCAGAAAGGCCTCTTCTTCCCTAATTACGGTAGACAGACAGGCCAGTCAACTTGTCACGGACTGTATTTCACTCATTTTAATCCCTTCTTCTCCCATGTTCAACATTCCCCCTCTCTGTATCTTGCCCGGCCTTCCCCACACCTCTTTGCCCCTGGCTCCGGGCATTCTCCCTCTCTCCCCCAAATTCCCTGTTGACTAGATGTTCTATTTGGGTTAGAAACATAAGAGGAACTGTTCTCTTAGAGAAGCACATGCTGAAATAAAAACAGTTTAGGGCCTTCTGTTTGTTTGAGTGCAAGGGAGAGAATCTGTGTTTTTTATAGAACAGAGATGGGTCAGCTGGAGGCTGTTGACATGGGGGCAAAGAGAAGGGAACATAGTTAAAGAAGGGAACAAAAACACATAACATTTACAAAACAAGACCACCAATAATCACACATTTTTCTCTGTCAGAGGGTTTTTCCAGAAAACCGGAGCTGACAGGATTCTAGACAGTGTCGTATAATGAAAGATTCGTCACCAGCTTTACAGTAAAGACAGCGGTGGATTTGTAAATAGAAGCCTGGGGAGAACAGGATGGCTTACAGATGACAGAGGGCTGATATCCAGATGTGTGACTGCACACAAACAGGGTTAATATGAAAGGTTATAGGTAATAGCTCCCAAATGCAAATCAGGTGCAAATGAGGCAACACCTTGAACTAATAAGACTTTTAACAGCACTAAACTGGTCATTCTCTGTAGCAGGAGGGCTAAAGCTAATTAGCTAGGCAGTCAGACAGCTGGGATCTGTTATTCAGATCTATTTATTATGCATTTTACAATTCTAAGTGTAACAGATTGATGCCAGCCCAAATCCATCCTTCCTTAGACTCCCCCCTTCACATGAGGTTAGATAACAACCGGGATGAACACATCAGCCAGATCCTCCCCCGCCCTGCCTTATCTGACCTCTCCCTTCCTGGGAAGCAACGATGGATATCACAATCTAACAACCAATCAACAACCACATAACACATAAACACCATGAGACAGTCACAGAAAGGCTAATAAACAACACCCTGTTGCTTTCTGTAATCAGTCTTACCAAGGCATTCAGTTTATCCAAATGTATTTTCACAATAAGCTCGCTTTAACCATTTTCAGGTTTTATCTTTCCACAAGAAGATAACGTTTCGAGAAATAAGATGTTCTGATAACATGGTTGCAGCCTTTTAGGTCCTGTTCAGACTGCCAGCAAAACTGGTTGTTGTCCTATCCAGACTGTATCCACATTACTGTACAGCAAAAAAAACTGTTAAAATGCAAATGTTTTGCTAAATTGGATTCAAACCATATTTGGTGTTGGATTGATTCCAATCAGATTTCTACAGCCCAGACGTTCTGGTCGATCAATTCAGAAGAAATGAGACACACTGAGACACTCTTTATGTCCCCTGACTTCAGAAGTATTTGCTCAAATCTTCTCATGTTGCTGAGGCGCCAAATGACACATAAAAAGCAATACATGTGTTGCATTGCAAAACAGAAATATCTACTGTTTTACTTTTTGATTGCTTGTGCCATCCTTTCATCCCTGAACTCATCCTCATGGCTCCCTTCAGATAATAGACGTTAGGATGGGGAAACGCTTGAGGAATGAGGCTTGTCTTTGCCACATGCCTTCACCCTTAGCTTTCTTTCTCGCCCGCTGCCAGCCAAGGCTCCCTGTTCCTACCCCGTCTTCATCACTTTGGCCATGGCTAGCATTCCCCCCTCTGCATCCCTCTGTCTATTCATTACGCCATCCGCTCCATCAATGTTCCTTTCACAGAGGCAGCACTGTGGGTGCGAGCGAGGCTTGCAGCTCTTTCCGAGGAATGCAACTGAGCGGTCTTCTGTTGGCAGAGATCTCGAGACTCCTGCCCTCAAAGAGCGACTGTCATGTATTTTCACACCTCACTAGCAGAACAATGTACTAAGCAGTTTGGATAACCATTAAAATGTTATTCCGACAGTCTAGGGCAGTCACATGAAAATATGACCAAGGATGGATACCTCCCAGTGGTCAGCCCGATTAAGAAAGATTAGAGGGTCAGCATTTGGGCTTAACCTTAAATTAGTAGGGTCATGGTTGACGATGACTGCACATTTGACCTCTTACAGAGCAGGTTGTGTTCACACTAGGGATCTCATGAGAACTGACCCTCTAACAAGTCAATGCCAAAATCTGGCATTGACTTTTATTCAAGATATTACACATTTGGGTAAATGAGAAACATCACTTTCAATGCTGTCTACAACTCTATGACAACATCACAACCGATTCCTCTTGTAATTTGGAGGCCATAGGTGGTCCACCAAGAAAATGTGCAATATGTGCAACTTTACAGAAACCCACATGGAAATTAACTGTATAGTGGGTAATTAAGGAATACAATTGGGTTCTATACAAAAAACTCAAGTGGGTGGATTCTTACCTTTGTCTCACACTTTCTGTGGGTTGCTGTCTTGCATACTAAAAGGAAATAAAGAAATACATGTTAAAAAATAGTATATAGTAAATTGGATTCAATTTGAAGTTTCGACTATAATTTCCATTGGATTTTATAGTGTGTACTATATGTGGTGCAATAATAAAAACAATTAAAGGTAATGTGATTCATGCAGGTTTAAAGCACATTTTGATGATTATCATTTTGGATACCATCATTAATCTGAAATATTTTGGCAATGAATATCGCTAAATCAATTTCTAATATTGGTCCTCTTGGTCCTTTAGAGTAACTAACTGCAGTTGTGAGAGGCCAAACTGTAACAATGATGACAACACATGCTTGCAACATTTACCTCTGCAGAAGGACCCAACGTTGTCCACGTTCTGTCGACACACGCTGCACTGTCGCTTCTTCTTAAAGGTCTTTTCCTTGAAGACGTGAGGTTCTCCCTTCCCCCCCTGTGCACACAAAGCAAATAAGAATGGAATTCAGTTAGAAACCTGATACAGTATCAGACATTGGGACACAGTTTGTGGTGCTGCCTCATCTCAAACAATGCAAGGGAAACCTTGTTTGACCTTCATCAAGCGTTTCATTTGGTTGAACCTCCATACACTTCCATCTGACGGATGAAAACAAAAAGTTGGACTTCCCCAAATCTTTTCAAAGAAAGATACAAGAAAACAAAGTTATGGCTGGTGGGTTAGTGGACTGTAATAATGACAGGATCGTGAATGACAGACATAGTTTGTATTTCACGACTTTGGCCACATCCATTCTCTACTCCCTTTGGCTCTTGAACTTCTGTTCTGGTTGTGTAACTGTCTTCCAGTAATAATCCTTGTGGTTCCCGCCCATACCATACTGTAATCCTTAGTGTGTGGGTATGTTTCAGTGTGTGTGTGTGTCTGTGGGAAGTTTTGGGAAAAATAAAAAGGAGCAAATGTGTTCGTGTAATTCTTAAAAAGAGATATAGGAAAAGTGAAAGTTAAAGATTTTCACTTATTTTCTTTCCAATGTCAATATTTGTCACAATGTCTGCTAGTGTGTGTATATCTGTGTGTGTCTGTGTGTGTGTGTGTGGTAGCCAATCCCGCCCAGTGCCTATTTGTTTCCCAACATGGGATCACATCCACAGATGACTGGGTCTGACATGATTTTAAAGGTCCCATGTCATGGCCATTTCTACTGATCATAATTCCATTGTTGAGGTCTACTAGAATAGATTTATACTGTGCAATTTTCCAAACTCACATTGATTTCTCATACAGCATCTCTGTATAGTATGTGTATTCACTGAATTTCACTCATTCCTAAATGACTT